TATGATAGAATAACTCTCTAAAAGACTTCAATACTAGGAATTGTCTACCTTTCATTTCCATGGCAAGCTGAATATTCCATGACGAGCATACCTTACTAGCGTTGTTGTTCCGCCAATATAACTATCTAATGCTTGACTGAAGATTGGATCATGAGGGTGAGTTCTGTTTTAGACCTGAAGATTAGCCAAGGGCCACAGTCCTTTTGGCTATTTTTGTTTGTTTAATTATTGAAGATAAAATTTGATCACAATAAGATGCCCAACTCCTAAACTGCTAAAATTAATGACTTTTGACCATTCTTGAATCATTTTTGTAAAGCTGCATATTGAAAATGTATTTTGGATCATTTTCCACATGACTCTCAACAGTTTAAGAATCAAAGCATTTCATTCCTGTCCCCAAATGTGATGCTGTCTTTGTGAGATGGACTCAGTGGGGTTTCCTTTGGTGGTGTCCAGAGGGCACCTCATGAGCTAGCCCCTCCCTAGAGTGGACATTTTCTGGGCAGTGTGGTCCCAGTTCAGCATTTGGCCTTCATGCTGTGGTGAATCACTGAGAGGGGCTATGCAGACTGGTTTTCAAGCCTTTGTTGTTGCGTGCCTTCAAATCAAGTCGGTTCTGACTCATAGAGACCCTGTATAGGATTTCTGAGGAGTAGCTGGTGAGTTTGAACCACCACCCTTGTGGTTAGCAATCCACTGCTTATCCTAAAGTGCCGCATGCTTGACCATAAATGAGGGAAATTCCCCTTCAACTCCTACCCAAATCCGAGTGAGCTTGAGCACCATGCCTAAGCAGATTGTGGAAATGCTAAAATGCAGTGAGTCAGAGTGACTTTAGTGCCAGCTAGGTTTTGTCATCCTCCTCCTTTATTTAATTTTTTATGTTTGAGTCCAATTCCATGTGAAGCACAGCAGGGAGGATGCAGGTGAAGAGGATGATGGGTAGGTGGAAGTGGTTTAAGCCGGAGGCTTTCCTTACGTCCAGGGAAGGATTGTTTGAGACATTTTCACCCTTTAAGTGGTTGTCGCAGGCCTTTGTTCCGGTGTATCATATAAATCATATAGCATTAACTCCCTAGAATGAATTGCTGGCTGCTTGTGGGTATTGCCTGGCATTTTGAACCATGATTGTGTTGCCCTGAACTGCCAGTGGATTATAAAGCGATGGATTGCCTTTCCCTGTCAGCAAAGTCTAGGTATTAAGAGTTTGGTCCTTAGAAGGAGTCGGACAGGATTCAAACACTGACTTCTTTGTTGACAAGCATGACTCTGTTGATTAACTTCTCCAGACCTCAGTTTTTTACATGTGAGGCAGTGGCAGCAATACCCCTTTACTCATGGAGGTTATTGTAAGGATTACACAAGATGAGGCACAAGTGCCTGCCATGGTGTCTGGCATGTGTAATCTTGCCATCAGTGGAGCTACTGGTGCTATTATTTGTATTGTTGTCAGACCAGGAAAGTCAGTTTGGAAAGAAGGGGACAGTTTGTCTTCTTGTTAGTCTGCTTGGTGACCTTTGACTTAAAGAGCAAAGGTGAAAATCTAGGGAAGAGACAGTATAGTTTTTAGATGGTATGTGTTTGCTCTTTTACTGTTAAATCAGAGACAGTATTGACCTTAAAGAAGGACTGTGGCACTTCTTGCCTCAGTGGACTTGTGTTCCATTTTCACCAGTAATCAGTGCTTGCCCAGATTAAGAGTTATGTTCATGTTTTTGAAAGAAGGAGAATCTCACAACCAAAGAGATCAGTCTTGTCGGAGCTCCTAAAACAACTGTACGTGATATTCGCCACAGGCCTACTCCTGTGGCTCTCCTTCCCAACTTACCAGAAAGTTTTTCACCGTCCTTATACCCAGGCATGATTCCATAAATCTACAGGGCAGCTTGGGTGTTGATCTTAAATAAAACTCTCTGGGTGATTCTCATATTCATCCTGGTTAAAATTCTTGACTGTAAAGACGTTCTAATCTGCTACCCTCCTGCCCCTCACACACACAGTTGTTCTCCAAATGAGGAGACATGCCTGGAGAGGCCAGGCACACTGAGCTATTATGGTGCCAGAATCATAATTCACGTCTCCTGGCGCCTGTCGAGTACGTTTTCCTCTCACCATGCTCATTCTTTTACCATATTTGCTGTTCCTTGTGGTGGGGTCAGAAATAGCCAGCCCACACTTGGTGAGCCTTCATTCCTCTGGGAGCCCAGTTCCCCGTTGTCCAGTCAGCAGCGAGTTGTCAGCATTCTTAGCTCTGGGGAAATCTTTGGAAGAAAAGCAAAGGAAAGCTTGGGATTCTAGGTTTTGACCCACTGCATCACTGATTATTGCATAATGCTGGTTCATCTGCTTAGCATCCTGACTCATTGTGTGCATATGGCATTGCTGCTTCTAAGAGAGCCCGGGCTCTCTGGCAGTCCCCAGGTCACCATTTGTTCTAGTCTTACTTATTAGAGTCTGGATTCCTGCCAGATATGGCAGCCACTGTGACATGGTACATGCTGCATTTGGTAGTGGGCTATTTATTCATTACTAACACTAACAGGAGTCCTGGTGTACTGCTATAGGATAAGCACTGGACAGCTAACTGCAAGTTTGGTGGTTCAAGCCCACAACCACTTCTTGGAAACCTATACAAGGGTACTAGGAATCAGAACCAACTTGAGGGACTTTAACAACAACCACATACACTGTAACGTCCAACATTCTTTGAGTGCCTGTATACTTTCCATGAACTATCTCATTAATTCCCCCAACAACCCTAAAGGTAGGTGTTGGTATTCTTGTCTTACAAATTAGGAAACTGAGGCTCAAAGAAGTTAGGTGTCTTATCTGAAGTCACATAGGTCTAGTAAGCAGCAGGCCTAGGATTTCTGAGATATTCACGTGATCAGGGCCTGCATGCTTACCCACTCTGCTGTGATTTCCTTGCTGCACTTGTAGACCATTTCTGTGCCTACACGGCCTCAGCCGTGAGGAGCTCTGGTGTGGTACCCTGTCCTGACTGCTGGGTTTGGGGGCAAATCTGGAGCTCTGCTTAATCGTTTCTGCACTTAGCAGCAAAACTGGTTGTCCTCAAGGTCATAGCACATATCTGGTCTGACATCTGTTTGTAGTGGTCTTTTATAATTAATGCTCAGATGTGGAGCTGACAGGCCTTTCAAGAGCCATTGACAGCCTGCGTCACGTTAGAGTGTCTTAGAAGTCAGCCTGGGAGGTTGTGGCATGGTGGAGCGTGATACTGGGGTAAATAGCTCCTCATGCTCCCTTGCCACAGGGCAGGCACCTTTATGTTCTCTAATTAACTCTTTCCATCCCTATTATATTTCACCACAAGAATTCTTTCTGCATTCTTCAACTTATCTTGTCCTTCCATTTCATCCAGCAAAACACACTGGAGCAGTCTATTGTTCAATGCCCCGTCCACCTTCTGATAAAGAAAAATCTCACTACTTTTTAAAGGGGCTGTATCAGTTTTCTAAGGGTGCCATAACACATCACCATAAACTGGGTGTCTTAGCACAACAGAAATTTATTCTCTCACAGTTGTGGTGGCTGGATATCTGAAATCAAGGTGTGTCAGCTGAGCATTGTGCCCTCTGAAGGCCCTGAGGGAGAACCCTTTCTTGCCTCTTCCAGTTTCTGGTGTTTGCTGGTAATCCATGGCATGTCTTGGATTGTAGCTGCACCACTCCAATTTCTGCCTCTGTCTTTATAAGGCAGTCTTCCTTCTGTGTGTGTGTCTCTCTGTCCCCCGGAATGTAGCCATCACTGGACAGAGGCGGGTTTTCCTTTGTCCACTGCTGTATCCCAGGGTCTGGCATAGAGTCAGGGCTCAGTAAATGTCTGTTGATTCAATGAAAATGTGGATGAGAACCAGAAGGATTTGATTAAGTGATGGTACAATTACCAGAGAGGTTGCTAAATACAAAAATCTTTGCCTGCACTTTAGTTGCTTTATGTTGTGTAAATGAGGCCCTTGCAGTTCTAGTGGCTGTCATAACCTTAATTTTGGGAGTTAGAATTTTCATGAAAGATTTTCTGCACCTTCCCTCACTGATGCACTTGGTTTCTCAGAGGAGCATTTTAGTGATGCTGTTAGTGGGTGATCACCTTGAGGATAATTTAGGATTCCAGGGATTTTTTGGGGAAGCCTAAGCTTGATTGCCCTCCACTAATCCTCATGAGCCAGAGGAAGGAGGAAGAGGAAATTTGTACCTTCACCACCCACAGTCCCATTCTTAAACTGAATCAGTAATTGAATGCTATTAAGGAAAATTAACTTGCCTCCTGCAGGAAGATTTATGATGAATGAAAGGCTTGCTAATCAGGGAGGGAGCCAGGCTACCCTCTGTGGTCATCAATATTTCATAGCCATAGACAGTGTCAGGTAGTTAGCTGTCCTGGCTCAGCTGACCTTGAGGGACTGTGAAGGTAGGGTGTAGCCACACAGGCCATATTTTAAAGGGCTTTTTACTAGAGGCTTATGAAAACCTCTAGTAAAATGCACAGGTGGGTTCATTGGATTCAACCCTCAGTTTCCCCAGATGGTAATCTGGGACCACTCTGAGTATGAGCCTATGGAGGTATAGTTCTGTCAGCTATAGTGGCGTGCCAGGAAATGTGTAACACTGGCTCTCTGGGGGTCAGGGTGGGATTGTAGTGTTTGACAATTTCTGTGATACCAGTCTGCTCCCTCATAGCCTATTTTCAAGCTACTGAGCCCAGAATTGATAGATGTACCAGTTTGCTGGTACAAGCAGCCTCTAGGACACCCCTTAGCCTACTGCTCCCAGAACTGTGTTACTTCCTGGTGATTGGAGGAGAATCCCACCAAGTGGTTGCATTTCCAGAAATAACAGACATGGCCCTGACCGATAGCCAGTGTTATTTGCAGTAGACTTAGCCTCTTGACTGGGAGCCTGTCTGAATGTGACTTGCTTTTAAATTCTGAGAAAAGACATTAATGAGCCTTTCATTTTGTTATTTCCTCTCCCTAGCTGCTATTAATTTAGCAAAACTGAAACTTTTCAGACATTATTACGTCTTGGTGAGTAACAATTCCTAAATCTATACATAAAATCAGTTCAAGAAATAGAAGCGAAAGAACTCCCAAAGAATTAGTGAAAACGTAAGACGCTGTGTGGGTTTAATTTTATAAAACCGAATTGTGTCTTTTAAGATGGGAAATTAAATATCTGCATTACTTCTTCCTGTTCAAATTTAGTTTAAATGTTTTAGGAAAGTAGTACATGCTTAATGTAAAAAAAAAATTAAAATTACTGATTACAGAATAAAATCACAGTAAAAGCCCTTTGTTTCCTGAACTCCCACCCTATACCCTTCTTAGCCTCTCCCAAATGATTCCTGTCAATAGGTTTAGTGGCAAGTCCTGTATGTTTTTTCCTGTACATATTTATGCCATACTAACATTTGCTATTTTATTCATTGACAAAAGCATCATGCTATAATGATACTTTCTGCCGCTTTGGGTTTTTGTTTTTGTTTTTTCCACTTAAAAATGGTTAGTGTATAACATATATTCCCCTGCAGCTTCATGCTAAGGCCAAAATAATATTTCCCTTAAGAACAGAAAAATTATGGCTATTGTTAAGTGCCATCGAGGTGGTCCCGATTCAGAGACCTTGTATAGGGTTTCCGAGGAGTGGCTGGTGAGTTTAAACTGCCAATCTTGCGATTTAAACCAACCTTGTGGTCAAGTGCTTAGCCTATGGCACCACACCAGGACTCCATGGCAGTTTTTGTAAAACCTTAAAACAGGACTGGTCGACATGAAAAATCCTTTAAGAATAGCACAATAGCAGGATTTGCTCTAGTCTTTTAGAATCATAATTTCCTGGAATATATAAAGTAGGAGTCTTCTAGATGTTTCACTTGGCTTTAATTTTTTGCTGTGGGCTTTGTGTCATCCACCAGAACAGGTACAGGGGTCACCATAGAGCCCCTCTTGACATATGCAGTGTTTGTGACGAGTAGTCTTCGGTGGCCAAGCCAGGGCACTAAACTGCAGCGTATCTGACATGGCCTTTAGGCCAAAACATAGGTTTGGTTGCAGTGACCACACCACAGTCATGTGGCTAGCATGCTGAATCCTTACCCACAATGAGGAGAAATTAAGACACCCTGCCTTGCTAGACCACCTAGTTATTTCTACTTCCTCTGAGTATGTGTCACCAACATTTACAGCATCTGCTGGTGAAGTGATTAAACAAAACCCAAACTCACCGCTGTTCAGTTGATTCTGACTTACAGCAACTCAATAGGACAAAGTAGAGAACTTCTCTGTAAGGTCTCCAAAGTTGCTTTATGGAAGCTGTCTCTGTGGAGCAGCTGGTAGATTTGAACCACCAATCTCTTGGTAAGCTGCCTAGAGCTTTAACTACTGTGTCATCAGAGCTCCTCCTGGCGATGAGACTAAAAAATCATTATTTCCCTCGTGTGCCTCTATTTTGCTATTATTGTTGGAAAATATCCCTGAAAGCCTAGGAATAAAAAATAATGCCCTTTGTAAATGAAAAGTAATGGGTTATATATGTTGAGAGGGCAGAAACCAACTGCCTCGTGGTGTTTTGCCCTTGATGTGGGTGTTGGTATTAGCGGTATCTTGGTTACCTACAGATAGTGAAGTGTAACTAGCGGAGTAGCCACCTCACTTTTGTTAATTAACACTATCCATGTCAAATAATTTCCTTAAACGAATTCTGTTTTCTCTTTTGTAGTTAATTCGTGAAAGCAAATTTTTGAGAGAAAGTGGTGCCATAATTTCTATGTTGGTTTTGTTTCTTGTTTTAGATTGTATGTTATATATACTTTACAAGGATCATTGCATTTCTCCTCAAACTTGCAGTTCCGTTCCAGTGGAAGTGGCTCTATCAGGTATGCTGCTTGCAGAATGTAACACCAGAGAATTTAGTGTAAAGGTGTAAAGTCTTGGAATGGAGGAATAGTCACAGGTATAACTTAAGTTTGTTCATGTATTGGTGAGTGACCAAGACTTCAGTCTCGTCTGGTCTACAATGAGATAATATGTTTGTCCAGGAAAGCTGCTAGATTACATGAGAAATCTGGAAGTAATTGCATTATTGATTTTCATTTTCCATTTTTAAACCTTTGAACAGAAAAGCCCCAGGCAGAGAAAGACCTGTCCTATGTAATTAAAATATAGATGAGATGTCTTTATCTTTAGCTATAGGGCTTAGAATAGCTTAGAATGCAGACCTCCTTTCTTTGCTCATTATTATTTTTATTTCAGTAATAAAACACCTTTGCAGTATACTAGTCCTAGTGTAGCAACTAGAATAAGCTTCCAGATGATGTAGAGACTTACTTCTTGAAGGACTCACTTTGTTCTTTAGGCACTGTAGAGTTGGGTGGGTCTGTAATGAGCTCTTAAAAGATACCAGTGAAGGCTGATTGCAGTGAAGCTCGAGACTCTTAAATGTATCTCTGAATAAAATACTACTAACTAAACTTCAGGAAATGTTCTAAGGAAAATGCTCTTGATCATTAAACTCTGGCATTTGAATAATCAGCCAGTGGTGGATTGGAGAGGATGTATCAGTTTTCTAGCTGAAGAACAGTGTTGCTAATCCTTTTACTTGGGTGGTTTTTAAATTTGCAGCTCCTGGATGAGATGGCTACGCTGGTATTCTTTGTCTTAACTGGGTATAAATTCCGTCCAGCTTCAGATAATCCCTACCTACAACTTTCTCAGGAAGAGGACGACTTGGAAATGGAATCTGTGTAAGAAATCTTTCTTTCCCTCTTCCTTTACCCTGATCCCTTTACCTAGCTAACCACAACACAGTGTGAATTGAACCAGCTGCTCAGCATTTTGTTGTTCCAGATGTGGCTCTTCTATTTTTAGCAGAAGGAAATGGACACGCAAGCTGCAGGCTCTCTATTTAGTTTGAAGTACAGCATCTGCCAAGCATTGCTTAGTCTTTTCAAGGAAAATAGAATTTGCCATCCTGTTAAGCATTATTGGAGTCTGCTTCCAATAACTCGGTGGCAAGAACTTGGGAATATACTTAGCCTGTTCAAAACTACTGAGAATGGGCAACCCCACTTTCTGTTGGACCCCCGCCATTGGGAGCTTATGTCTGAAAATGTAATCATCTGGTCATTTGTAAGTGCTAATTATCCTCAGATGTCATTTATCCTATGATAACTAAGTGCACTGTCACAGCTAACATGTTGACTTTGACCTGTATCTGAGTGGGAATGTGGGCTCTGCTGATTCACAAGCTAAGTGATTCTAGGGTCCTGTTAACTGGGAGAGAGTAATCATTTTCAGGAAAGTGATTAGTGAATAAGTATGTTTGTTAACTCATATCATCAGCCAGGCTAAGGTGTGGGTTTGATGATTAGCTGAAGAATGGGTTTTTCCTTTCTTGTTGCACTTGGTATCAAGTGTGCTGCCTCCAGTACAGGCAGCCTTTTGACTTCTTGTGATTTAGAGGCCGAGACTCAGCCCATGTTGATTTCCACTTGGCTGTTGGATCAGCTAGGCAGCATGGAACAGCTCTTTATGCTGAGCTCGCTACTGGAGCAACAAATGGAAGACAGGCCCTATTGATGGGCACCAAACAACAATTCCCTGAGCAGAAGAAGAAATAACCTTTTTTAGATAATGGAAGGGAACGCAGGAGAACAACAGATCTGACTTACCAAGAAATAACAGAATCCGAGAAAGTGACCATTAGATAAAGAGGCCCAAATGAGAGTCAATCTGATAAGTAGCAGCATCTCTAAGTGAGGACTCCTGGTAGCGTAGCAGGTTGTTAACCGTTTGAATCCACCAGCTGCTCCACAGGAGAAAGATGAGGCTTTCAGCTCCCATAAAGATTTAGAACCTCAGAAACTGCATAAAAGGTCGCAGTGAGTTGGAACTGACTTGATGGCACACAACAACAGCAGTCGCCAGCTGACCGCTGGGACGACTGGAGACTTCAACCCAAAGCAAAATTAAACCCACTGCCATTGAGATGATTCTAACTCCTAGTGACCCTACAGGATGTAATAGAACTACAGCCTCAGCTTTCTCCCATGGAGCTTCTGGTGGGTTTAAACCACTGACTTTGCAATTAGCAGCTCAGTGTGTAACCCACTGAGCCACCAGGGTCCCTTTGGAGACTAATAGAAGACACTGAAACATAGTACATTTATTTATTCCCTGTTAATATACCTTTAGCTTATTCCATAAATGTTACTGCAGAATATCTCAGGGATCAACAGCTAGACGCAGAATGGCTGAGTCCTAGTTTATGAGCATCTTTCAGTTTACTGAATTGTCTCCAAAATGGTGGAATCAACAGGCATTCCTCCCAGAAATATAGGAGTTCCTGTTTCTCCATATCCTTTCCATTTGCTGTTAGGGCTTAAATTGTAGCTATAAAGTGGAGATCTTTTTTATCATGAAAAATTTTGTTTTGTTTAGTTTTCTGGCGTTTTTATTGTTGTTATTGTTTTGCTATAAAAGTATTTGAAAGTGGTAATAACGATCCAGGTGTGGCGTTGTAAAGGTTGGTGGTTCAAACCCACCGGCCACTCCTCGGAAACCCTATATAGGGTCACTGTGAGTCAGCACAGACTCCACAGCACTTAGTAATTTTATATACCAATTACAAGGGAACAGTACTCTAATGATGTTGAATGTTTTTCAATAACTTAGTGAAGGGAGCTTCTGTTTGGTGGCAGGAAGGTTACATGGGTGACAGCTATAGAAAGAGAGTCAAAACATACTTTAGCATTCAACCAAATGAAAATTTTACTCAGGAGGATGATATTTCCATGAGCTGCAGTCCAGTTTAACTTATGAAAAAGACATTTGTGAGGTAGGCTAGTTGCACAGAAAAATAAAGGAAGTTTAGGAGTCATTTGAGGTAAAATGCCTCTAAATCAGCAAGGAAATTCTTCTAGAGAAGTTCTTCTGGAGTTTTTCTTTAGCTAAGAACATTACTGTTGAGAAAGTTATGTGAAGTTACAAGATGGGACGTAGTAGAACAGGCCTGGGACAGTGACTTTGGCCATTGCCACCTGCCTGCCTTACATCTCTGCAGGTGAGTGGAAGGACTCATTGCAGCTTCTCGGTGACAACATGGCCACCCAGGGCTGTCATCTCCCTCTCCCACTTGTGAAGCACTGTTCCTGGATGGTGTTTCTTAAATCCTCCAGAAGTAGCTCAAGTCAGAGGCCAGCAAAGCCCTCACCTGACCTTCTAGAAGGTCATTGGCTCTGTAAACTGTCAAGTACACTGGTAGGTGTTTCCTGAAGAAGGAAGCTGGGTCTGAGCCCTGTCACAAAACAAAGCAGCTGTTTTGGGGAAGTAGTATTCCACACCCCAAAACCAAATCTACACTGGTGCCTTCCTAATAAGTCTTCTCCCTATAGCCCAGCCATGGGAGCATGTGAACTCCAATCTGAACCACAGACTAAGTGGTCTCTCTTCTGCTCTGTCTGAAGCGGGGCTCTCTGTGGGAATGCTGTGCATTTGGGAGGGTGAGACTGGCTGCTTGATCCCAGGTGCAAGCCGAGCTTGTGGATGGAGTGTCCTCCACGTGCTCTGCTTCCGCTCTTCCTGCAGCCCTGACCTCCACACCATGCCAGCACATCTCCCACACTTCTGCTCCCTCTCAGCCTGTGGAATGTGAGTGCAATTAGAGGAACACTGGCTTTCTGTCTCTTTTCTTCCCTCCTGTTTCTTTCAATATCTCTCTTTGAGTGAAGCTCAAAAAAGGCTTATACCTTTTGGTAACATAGTTTGTTACAGAATATTCAGCAAGTTAAAAAGTTTTGGATGTACAGGACTTCAGACTTGTTAGGACCAGTTCAGTCATGACCCACAAAGCAAAACCGGAACAGATCCAGATTTTTTTTGTTTTTGTTTTTTTAATTTGAGTGATCCAGAATGGGAAGAAATATGTATCAATCGAAGTTCTGGAATAGGCTTGAAGGAGATGTAGTGAGTGCTTTTAAGGAGTCTGATACATGACACTGGATTATTGCCAGGACGTTGGAGAAGGGACACGTTCAAAGCGACACGGTCAGCCGTTAAGCCAGGTGCTTTTGTTTTGGTCTCAGTCAGTAAGATTTGGTTGCTGTGCAACATGCATGCAGCTGTGTTTACTAAGAAGGAGATTACGTTTCTAGCAGGATTTCAACTCATAATCTTTACCACTTTACTTAGCATTCCAGTTCACCTACATCTTAAAAATTTGGGTCCATTTCAATGTTGTTTTGTGGCCATGACTGAACCAGTTTGAAGCCCTGAATTTTAATCGTCAGACTTGGTCGCCTTTCTCATCCTGTCATCTTGAGAAGAAGCAATGGGGAAGAAATGTTTGATGTGGGTTTCAGTACTGCATCCCAGGGGTTCCCCTTTCAGGAGGCTATCCTCAAGGTTGCCATTAGTCTTTTACTACATCCTACATTTAGGTGGGAATAAAAATGGAAGCAGGATGATTAGAGACTAATAGAATTGTCTATTTACCAGCTTTCTTCAGTTCAAGCCCAGAAAACGTTTATCAGTTTGTTATAGAAGCAGATGTGTTTGTGGACCACTTATGCCTAAGCCACATTTGGTATGGCAGAAGGAGCTGTGGGTGCCTAAGGTCCCTTTATCGTCTTGGCTGGGTTTATTAGGCCCTGCTAGTTGCTATTACAATGTTGCTATTCACAGAGTTTTCAGTGACTAGCAATTCGGAAGTAGTTTGTCACTCTTTCTTCCTAGTCTTTGTTTGGAAGCTCATCTGAAACCTGTGACCCTGCTGGTTGTTTAAAATTCCGATGGCAGAGCCCTCAGAATCACAGCAACTCAGACCACCACAGCACGAAATGGCTACAATCATACATTGACAGAGAACTTGCAGAGATTGAAGCTGGATTCAGAAGAGG